CGCGGCAGATCCTGCCGCCGCTGAAGCGCAAGGGGCACGTGCAGCTCGAGGTGTGCACGCCGTCGGGGCGCATCGAGCGGTGGACGGTGCCGCGGAGCCGGGGCAAGCAGGCGTACCACGACGCGCGCAAGGCGGCGTGGGGCGACCTGTGGGCGCTCGGCGCCAAGGTGCGGGCCGAGCGGGCGGTGCGGCTGGGACGGCCGGCGGCGGAGGACGACGGCGGCGTGCGGGCGCAGAAGGCGCGGGCCAAAGGCGTCGAAGAAGGTCGACAAGATCAACATGGAGTACGACGAGACGGGCGTCACGGGCATCAAGGAGGGCGGACGGTCGAGACCGGAGAGGCGCACCAAGGGAGGACGGCTGCCGCCGCGCAAGACGGCGATGCAGGCGCTGCTCGGCGAGGATTGAGGGGTTTTCGGAATGATGCGACCCTTGTAACAAAAATGTGTACATCACGGACATGGCGGGCTGCGGGATAGAATACTGCATGTACATCTAGCGTGGACGGGCGAGAAGGCCGAGTCATGCCACTTTGATACCTACGATGATAGTGTTGCTATGACAGAGCACACCTTGTCACTGTGAGGTCATTTTGTTCACGACATGAGCGACAGGCCGGAGATGAAGGAACAGGCACTCTTTTGCCATGACGCAAGGCGTTATCACAGAAGAAGACGAATCGCTGTGGAAGTATGATGGTGTGTTCAGGAGGTTGGTGATGAGCATCGAAACGGGCGGCGGCGTGTAGACGAACGCGGGGGACGCCCGCCCCTGTATCGTAGGGCAGTTAGTGGAGGTGCGGGGGTTATCATGGGGCATGCTGTTAGTGAAGTGCCTTAGGTAAGGTGCTGTGTGCGGACGATGCTACTGGTAGCTTGGTATTTTCATCATTTCATACCTTTCAAGGCGCCTTGTCCAATTCTCTGGTACAGCCCAGATGGTAGGATCGATCATCTGGTCATCTCGTCAAGACATGCAAGGTCCGGATAGGAGATGCACGATAGGAGATGCACGATAGGAGATGCATCAACTGTTGGGACCATGATAAGGGGACCGCCCTATTCAGGTGACAGCCCAAGGTGACAGCCCGAGTTGACAGCCCGAGTTGACAGCCCGAGTTGACAGCCCGAGTTGACAGCCCGAGTTGACAGCCCGAGTTGACAGCCCGAGTTGACAGCTCGAGTTGACAGCCCAGATAAGCTTACAGTGCCCGTCAGTGGCAAGCAGCAGACACATCTCCGTGTGCGCTCCGAGGGGACCCATAAAAAGCGGTGCTGATTGGCGCACAGAGGCCCGGACATCGGGATGGCGTGATTCGGTAGCGCGAAAATTGATGGGCAAATGCCGACGCCGTGATTGGTCAGTGGCCGACACCGGCGAGCAAACGGAAGATGGGGCCCTCCATCGTGCCTGCCACTACTGTCACGGCCGCAACCAGCGTATCGTATTTTGCCTTTTGGGGGGGGGGGGGGAAGCTGTGAGTGATAGAGATATCGACAACTTTCCACCATGCGTCAAAGGCCATCTCTCCTCTGAGCCATTTGCTGGATTCTGGATCGTCGAGGACCGACCTCTGGCTGTTTCACGCACTGCCGTCTCTTGACTGCGGACTGCCCTCTCTGCGGACTGCCCTCTCTACGGACTGCCCTCTCTGCGGACTGCCCTCTCTACGGACTGCCCTCTCTGCAGACTGCCCTCTCACGACGGCAGACTGCCGACGCTCCACCATGTCTCTCCTCGCAGCCCTCAACTGCACGGGCAATGTCCACCTGATCATCGGCACGAACCCCCTGGCCGCCTCACGATGTGGCCAGTCGGTGGCTGCCGGTGCCAAGGCTCTCCTCATCGCTCCTGACACGGAAGACCTTCACTACGGCCTTGCCAAGCGCATTGATGCTGGCGAGGTGACCTGGCACAAGAAGGCCTTTGAGGACAATGATCTCTTCTCCCTCGGCCGTGACGACGTCGACCATGTCGTCGATGCCGTCTTCATCACCTCGGGCCCACGAGACCCGCAAGGTGAGTCCTCTCGCCCATGGTTCATCGCACGACGACATGAACACTGACAGACGACAGCATCACACATCTCAGCTCTCTGCAAACGCAACCGCATCCCTGTCAACGTCGTGGACGCCCCCCACCTCTGCACCCTCTCCCTGCTGTCCGTCCACACGGATGGGCCCCTTCAGATCGGTGTCACGACGAATGGTCGTGGCTGCAAGCTCGCCTCGCGGATACGTCGCGAGGTCGCTGCCGCTCTGCCGCCCGACCTAGGCGCCGCCTGTGCGCGCCTCGGCGACGCTCGTCGTCGCATCCAGCAGGAGGACCAGCAAGCACACAGCCAGGCCGATGTCGATGCCGACGCGGATGACTCGGTCGACCAGACGGCCTCCTTCAACAAGCTTGTCATCGAAGCCGACCTCGAGGCCGCCAAGACGCGCAGGATGCGCTGGCTGAGCCAGGTCTGCGAGTACTGGCCCCTCAAGCGCCTCGCCGCCATCACCGACGCCGACGTCGCCACCGTCCTCGAGTCGTACGCCAACCCTTCGGCTCTCCTCCCCGACGCCCCTCTGCCCCCGCTCACCGCCCTGCCGCCTCCCCGCCGCCGGTCGCCCTGGCCGTCGGCAAGATCATCCTCGCCGGCAGCGGGCCGGCCACCCAGACCTCCTGACACGCGCGGACGCAAAAGGCGATCCTCACGG